TCATATATATCTACATAGAATATTATTCTAACTACAAAACTCTGTAGTATAATGAGGGGAAGAAGAGAGAGAAAAGTAAGATGGGAGGTGAACAATTTCAAAATAGAACAAAACAATATACAAAAATGTAAATAAGAGCTGTTGATCAATGTGAGATTAGGCCAGGGGGAGAGAAAGCAATAGAGGTTATTGTGAAAAAATATAATACAGGCATATCTGAAATGCCATGGTGAAGCCTGTTGGACAGATTAATAGACGTTAAAAAAAAGAACAGAAAAGTAAATTAGGCTCTATTGGAAGGAAGAGCCAGCCCAGAGGGGGAGGGCTAAAAGAGAGCAACTAAGGATGCATGTAATTTAAGTAGTTTATTTGCATGTTCTATGAAAATAGGACAGTAAAACCTTTTGAAATTGTTTTAAGAATGCTGAGGACAGAGAATGAAAGAGGGATTGAAGTTGACAGGGACAAATTGTATACATGAATGATACAATGAAGCCCCCTGCCTTTGTACAACTAAAATGTCTGCTACTTAAAATTTGATAAGAAAAGAAAAGAAAAAAACCCATGTCAGAACAAGGCAATATTGTTGCCAGATTTTCAATTCATCAAGTAGTTAACAAATATAAATAAAAATCATAAGGAAATTATCAGAACCACTAATATTTATATAATTACCAGAATTCACAAAAATTGATATAAAAGAAAATTGAGAATACAAATATTTATATTCTCTTAAAATAATTCTATTTTGAAAAGAATTTCATAAGGGAAACTCCAGAAAAAGGGATTTTAGTAATCAATTCTATCACTAAGCAAAGGAATTAATAACATGAGTATTTAGAAAAATTCTTTTAGTGAAAAGTCCTTTTCACTAAAAATTAACAATATATCATCATAAAAAAAGCACAAGTCAATACCACTGATGAATAGAGATACTAAATGCTAGTCAGAATAGAATTCAACAACTTATAAAAAGTAAGAATACACTAAATTAAGTTTGACTTACTCCTAAAAAATGAAGGGTTAATTTCTTGTTTAAAAATAACATAATTCACTTTATTGAAAAATAAAGAGGAAGAAAAATCACATGCTAATTTTTAGTAGATACAGGGAAAACATTTGTTAAAATTTAACATTTATTTGTAATAAACTTCTCAGCATTCAAGGAGAAAGAAAGAAGCTTCTTTAATTCAAGCTGAAAATAAATACAATGTAAATAGAAGACTTCATGGTCACATGATTAAAACTTCCTCTTTGAGAACTGACTACAACACACTTACTATATATAGCCACTTTATACATCACTGTATTGACAGTATTACTTGTAAAGTAAAGCAGATAAAAAATGAGAAAAACATGAAAAAATGCCAAAATTCTTAGACATTCCACTTATGTTGAAGACTCAGTATTAAAGATGCTAATGATGACAAAATTAATTTCTCTATAGTCAAAGCAAATCCAATCATAGTAACAATTATGGGCTAGGGTCATTGCTAAGCACCTGCTTAACAACCATAAGACAAAACATAATGTTTGTGTGTGTGTATGTGTGTTTGTGAGTGTGCATGTTCATGTATATGCATATGTGTGTATGTAATTTGATAAGATGGTGCTAAAATTTATACGGAAATGGAAAGGGCCAAGGCAATCCAAACATGATTGTAAAAGAACAGAGAAGAAGGGCCTTACCTGAAATTGTAGTTAGAACCATGTGGAGTTCTGTGTGGATCAGACACAGGAGTAGGCTGAATGCAGAGCCCAGAGGGCATCAGGCCTGATATTGAAGTTGTATTCATGATTATAAGACAATATAGCACACTTGGAGATCCTAATTGTAGGAAGGAATGCCTACCAGGCCTCAGAGGTGTTAGAGACAGTATATTCCACATGTTGGGGTAACTGTTTTAGCTAGGACACCAGACAACCCCCAGCTTTCAGATCTAAATGTGGCTACCACAATAAAGGACACAGTCAGATTCAAACTACATTACAAACAGCCCTTCCCGGTGACTTAGCCAGCTTGGTCTATCATCACAATGTTATCAGAGGTGAGAAAGATGAATTTGGCATTTCTGAAACCCTCAATGGAAGAAACATCACATAGATGCCTAGGGTTCTACTGTAGCAGAGAATTATAACTTTTATTATTGTTGTGGATAGAGCCCAGGGTTTGTGTATGCCAGGTGAGTACTCTATCAATGAGCTAATTCCCTAGCCATTAAAAACAATCTTTGTCGGGCACTGGTGGCTCACGCCTCTAATCCGAGTTACTCAGGAGGCTGCCATCTGAGGATTCGGGTCAAAGCCAGCCCAGGGAGGAAAGTCCATGAGACTCTTATCTCCAATAAACCTCTCAGAAAACCAGAAGTGGAGCTGTGGCTCAAGTGGCAGAACGCTAGCCTTGAGCTGAAGAGCTAAGGGACAGCACCCAGGCCAACAGTTCAAGCTCCATGACCGACAAAGCAAACAAATCTTTGCCTGGCATTGGTGGCTCATGCCTGTAATCCTAGCTACTCAGGAGGGAGTAATCTGATGATCATGGTTTGAAGCCAGCCTAGGACAGGAAAGTCCATAAAATTCATCTCCAGTTAATCACAGAAAAAGCCAGAAGCAAGCTGTGGTTCACATGGTAGAATGCCAGGCTTGAGCAAAAAAACTAAGGGATAGTGCCCAGGCCCTGAGTTCAGCCCCAGTACCAGGAGAGGGGGAGAGAGAGAGAGGGGGGGGGAGAGAGAGAGACAGACAGAGGCAGAGAGAAGAATATCAAAAGTCATTTCACCATTTTTATTCCAGTAGTTTCCTAATTTTTCTTTGTTTTAGAACTCAAGATTTCCACTTAAAACCATTTCAGTTAAAAAAATTAGACATTTGCACATCCAATTTATTGTTGCACTATTCATGATTGCCAAGTTATAGAAACAGCCCAGATGCCCTGCAATGGATGAATGGATCAAGAAAATGTGGTACATATATGTAATGTATTTATACTCATTTATTTGAAAGAATAATGTTATGTCATTTGCAGGGAAATGGATGGACCTAGAAAAATTATGTTAAGTGAAGAAAGGCAGGCTTAGAAAATTATTGCATGTTTTCTCTTGATATGGAAGCTAGATCTAAAATACAAACATGCATGATAACATATACATGGTTTTATGTATACACACAAACACAAAAACAAACTGACTAAAGGATGATGTACTTAAGAGAGGAGTCCAAAGGTGTAACTCCTCTGAACAACAGAAAGTGGAAACATGTTTTAGGGGGAGGGAAGACAAAGAGGAGGACACAGGAATGGAGGGAGGAAGGGTGAGCAAACACAGTTATTATATTCAATGTTCTTTATGTAATCATTAAACTATGTAACTTGAGGGTAGGTGAGGGTAGGGGGAAATGATGGGAAGGGGATATATTGACCAAAATGCACTGGACTCAGAACCTGATATGGAGTTGTAATGTCTTTGGATAACTACTAGATCATAAAATAAAAAACAAACTGTAAGAGGAGATGCTGAAAAAAAAAGAAACAAAACTTACAAGTGGTGTTTGTAGTAACCATCTTGGGATGTTACTTTCCTTTTAGCCATATTATTATAATCGTGATCAGTGAGCACTGGAGAGCTAAGGTAATTATGCTGTTGGAGCTCATCATGGATTCATATTGGTTACAAATCTCCCCTGTTATTGTCACCCAGGAGATTATACATGCAGTAAGAGTAGTTTGATCTTATCTACAACCACCTCTGGTTTGTCTCAGAAGGCAAAACTCTCTTGTTTATCTTTGTGACAAGGAAAATGCTCTAATCACATCTTCCTCAGGGTGTTAAGAGACTGCATCCTCTCTCACGGCTTTATAAACATTTTCTCAGAAAATTTCCTTGTACAAGCTTTGAGAAGCTAGATTCTGTAATGCAAAGCAAGAAAGTTAAGTCATTATATGATCTTTAAAATGCCACTCAGTATTTCATATTTTATAATAAACCAGTATCTTGATATTTCATAAGCAGTAGTTTCATATTTAGTGCTCGCAACAAGTTTATTTCTTGGTCTAGACTTGAGCCACTGCCCAGTATGGCTCCTTCAAATCAAAGGACATTGAGCACTTTACTTGGAGTTCTTCTAACTTGAGTTGTTCTGTAAGTATAAAATACAAACTAGGTATATATAACAGTGTGTACGCAAACTGCAAAATACTGTATTAACATGTGAAATAATATTTCTATGTATTGGATTAATAGACAACATTTAAGCTCAGTTATTTTTGACCTTCTTTAAAAGTGACTACTAGAATAGCTTACATTTGTGGTTTTCATTGTAGTTCTGTGGGGCAGTACTGATCTAAAGTAATATGATCAGAACAATTGTCAGTGCATCTGGACATATGGGTTCCAGGAATAGTCTTTTAATTACAAATAGTGGTAGGAGTTGGTATTATAGTCTTAGGCTCAGGATGCACTAAATGTGTGTCAAGCATTCACTGGAATCTACATAAGATTTGAGTTAGTATGTAAGCTCTTGTAATTAGCATTAATTTTACTGTTAATAAAATATAATATTATACAAGCTATCTGCACACAAAGAATTCACATTGTATTTTATTTATTTATTTTAATTTGCTATTATTTTTATGTAGTTGTACAGAGTGGTTTGGCATTTAAATTGTAATACTGTTGTTTCACCAAATTCTTACCAATTTTTTTTCTACCCTGGCATTTTTATTTAAACAGTAAATCTATGAAGTTTATAACTGAAACAAAATCAACAGCATTCATACTATAAAATTCACAATTATGAACAGGAACAAGTAACATAATTATCTAAGTTACACTGAAAAATGGAATGGCATATTCCATTTTATTTTTGATGTATTAAAAATAAGAAAAACATTTTTATTTTACTAAAAGAACAGCCCCCTGTTAAAAGTTTCTTTTTTTTTTTAACTTCTAAAGTACAACACAATCAGTTCAGGGCTTTGGGTTTTTTTGTTTGAACATATGATCCCACCGTCTTTCCTACAACATGCTCCTAAACAATCTGCTAGGTTTAACTGATTACATGATTTGAAATGGGGATGGTCTTTCACATTTGCTGCTTATAATTCCTAAGTGGTCAATGTTTAGTATTTTTAGTTCTGGGTAAGAGAAAAAGCATTTTGGTCCATTAATTCACCTACTCGCTCCTGGAGGACATTAACCAACTCTGCTATTACAAAGACATGAGTGTCATCGATGTCTTGAATGATGAACTTCTTCCCTAGTGCATTAGACTCATCCAAGTACAGGAGGAACTGCTTCATGGCGGGATCGCATTCTATAAGCACTCCTTTTAAGACGTTGACCATCTTTTCCCAGTCAGAAGGTGCAGATAGCCTCAAGAATGCCCACTCTTCCCAGTCGCTCAGAGGTTCCGCACGCACGCCTTCCAGCTGGTCCAGCGGCGCCCCGGCGTCACCGACAAAGTCAATTCTTACTAATTTTTATGATCACTGTTTGTATCTTTGCTCTTTCCTTCATGTCTTCATCTACTAAAATGTTAATGAGATTTATGGAAAGAGCAGAAGAGCAGGGCAGTCAGAGGACAGAACAAACCAACAACAAACACAGTATGCAGTTCTAACTCAACTGTAGTCCCAATACAGTAACATAAATACCGCCCATTTACCCATTCCAAAGAATGAAAATTCTCTACACGTATCCCTTCTGCATTCTCTAGAGTCAATCATTGCTATTATTCTGCCCCCTAAACACATTCCAACACCTTTCATCATCCATTTGGCTATTGTTGTTGCTTTGCAAAACCCCTTTTCATTTTTCTAGTACTGTTTCAGGCTTACGTCCCAAATCCAATTCCTTTTGTCCTACTATATATTCACCAAATGAAAACCAACTAATCTTTTTTCCCCTGAAAATACAAATCTGTTTGATTCCTCTATTTAAAGTTCTGCCCACACCCTAGTGGATGACGTATGTAAAATACAATGTGCATAGAAAACATTCCAGCCAGCACTGGTATCTCATGCCGATAATCTTGCAGGCTGAAAGTAGGAGGATAACAGTTCAAGGTCATCCCTGTTAGATAAAATTTCCAAGATTTCATCTCAAAAGTCTCCAGCAAAAAAGCAAGGCTGGAGTAATGGCTCAAGTGATATAGTGTCAGCTTAGGAAGTGTGATGCCCTGAGTTCAAATCATGGTAACGCAAAAGGAGAGTGGAAGGAAGAAAGGAAGAGGTAAGGAAAACAGGAAAGAAAAAGAAAGCATTCCATATTTTCCTTCTGCTTTCACTAGAATCTGCATCCACCATGTTGGACTACTCTGGACATTCTTGATACACAGGACCTTTAAACCTGTGCATACTGGTATGTTAACCTGGGATGCACTCTTTAACATAACTACTTTCCAAATTCCATTCTGAAGATGTTATTGACTGAATTGTGCTCTCTGAGTTTGTGTATTGAAGTCCTAAATCCCTAAACGTGGGGCCGTTAAGAAGAAATTAAGGTTAAATGAAATTGTGAGTATGTTACTCTGATTCTCAACCTCCTAGTCACCTGGTCTAGTATATTTTATAGAAGCTTGGGCTACCAACAGAAAGTTCTGTTCAGTCTTCAACCCCTTGAGAGCATGCTTTAATGTCTACAGCTAGGGGCTCTCCTTGTGCTTATAAACAATCCAGAATACTTTCATCAGAGCTCTTACCCTCATGCATCATTTCTATTTTCATCTGGAACTCCTTGGTAGCATGGAAAGCCTCATTTTGTGTAATGTTGAAAGATGTACAGAGCAGAGACCATGTTTTGATGATGGCACATATACGTATTTTGCAAAAGTCTTCCAAGGCAAATAGTGTTTAAGGGCATAAGTTGCAGGTCAGAGCCTCATAAACCAAATTCCAGCTTGAAGTCATCTGGACCAGGAGTAATGGAGATGCTGAAGCAGCCAGCTGGTGTCCACAGGGAAGTCCTGCTGGACCTGGCTTCCAGGGAGAGGCAGCAGACACCACATTCAGTAAATGCTCTTTAGCACTTATGTCAAGGTGTCTTCCCTATCAAAGAGATTTGTTTCCTTGTCCTGGGACCTCAGATATAAAGTATTGGCACGCAAATGAGGGCTCTTGCATTGTCAAAGCAACTTGAGCCTTCAAAGTCATACCAGGGGCTGTGCAGTTCAGAGGTAATTTCTGCACACCCTAGTACAGTACTTCTGCTTTCTTTTATACTTGTCTAATCCCAAACCACCAGCATGTCTTTTCTCATGCTTAACTGGGACTGTATCATTTATGCCTACTCACTGCTTAGTTTTGTGAGCAGAATTGATGCTTTGTGATTCCATGAGGGCCCAGGAAGCAGAGTTATATGATTCTTCCTTACCTTTGACAATTATTCTTCTACTTGTGGCCTCCCTATTTGCTAGTTTCCTAGAAATGTGATATAAATCAGACTTGGCAGGTTTCAAGGTTGTTCTGGAGAGTTTCCAGGGATAGCAGGAAAACCTCCCAGGATGTCAGCTAAGAAATCTGTTGAAAGAGTTAAAGGTAAAATTCTATAAGGCCATTTGCAATTAAACATGGATGGTTCTGGGTTAGAATTCTGTCTACTAGTTCTTTGCTTTGTTACTAGACTTCTCGGAATTTCACAATATGTATGGAAATAATGATGCAAAGCTGTGGTGTTGCAAAGCTGAGACACAGTGAATAGACAATGCATGTGAACTCTTATTAATAATAATAGTTATACTGGGTCTTTGTTGGCTCAATGTCCTTGGATGGCATTTACCTCTATTGGAAGGAAGAATTAAAGTGGTTCAGGCCTATTGAAATTCTGGGGCAGAAAGGACCTTAAGAGACTTATTTTCACTGGGAAGAACATCTAAATCATTCATGATAGATAGTTTTGATTTTCTTTTTTAATATCTCAGGGAATAGAAACGTCAACACTTCCCAAGGAACTTTATTCAGCATTTCATCATCTTAATGGCTGAGAAGTTCTTCTTTAGAGTCAGCAGCAATCTGTCTGGTTTTAATGGAGCTCATTTCCTCATATTCAGCCCTGAGGGGAAAAGAAAGAAAAGCTGGGTGTCTCTCTGTAGAAACAAACCCTTTAGCTACCCCAGGGCCATCATGCCCAGGGCCATTGCTCCTCCTCTGTCCCCACACCCCTAGGCTAAATGACCACAGGGCCCTGAGCTGCTCCTTCTGACATCAGTCCCTACTACTTGTCATCTCTGATCCTTTTCTATGAAGCAGGTTTATTTCCTTCACATCTGGTTAAAAATCTGTCCCTGTCCTCCTAGTGGAGACAAACTATTACAAGGGAGGGACGCCTTCTCGAATCTGACAAAAAAAAGTGAAAAAAAATTACAAAAACCCAATTTGTTTTGATGGTAACAATTCCTAGGGCTTATCCTTAGGAAAAGTTTTCTACAGTAAACAGGGAATTTTGAAAAGGGTTTTAGTGCTTTTGTGATGAATCATGATAAATGCCGGGTGGCAGTTAAAAACCTGAGGCATGGAAGATGGCATTTTGGAAACAAAACTCTTTAGCTTACTAAATAAACAACCTGTAACTTACTTCATGTCTCCAAGCATCAGTTTTTTCCTCTCTCTCTCCCTCCCTCATTCCCTCCCTCTTTCTTTCTGTTTCTTTCTCTCCATATGTATGCATATATATATATATATATATATATATATATATATATATAATGTATATGTTTACACATTGGCTAGCACCAGTGGCTCATGACTATAACTCTAGTTACTCAGATCTGGGGAACTGTAGTTTGAAGCTAGTCTAAGCAGAAGAGTCCATGAAACTTCACCTCCAAAATAACCATCAACAAGCTGGGCTAGAGGCACGGCTCAGGTGGTATAGCACCAATCATGAGCAAGAAAGCTAAGTGAGAGTGCCAGCCCCCAACTTCAAGCCCTGATATTGGAAAAGAAAAAGAAAAAAAATCTGAACTCTGAAAACATTCTAACTTAGTCAGGTTACTGAGTCAACCCACATTTTGCAGTCATCAGTACATTATTGCCTTCTGCTCCTGTTGTTCAATACTCGATGACATTCCTTCAGGGTGGACACCATGGTGACCAGCCTCAAGACAGGGCACTGGAGGACACAGTGAGAGGAAGTGCCCAGGGGAATTATGCATGTGTGGTTGACTGTGAAAATTGTGCGGAAGCTCTGCCCCAGCCTGCTGCTCAGAACCACAGTAGCCTGGTGTCCTGTCCCTTGGCATCTCAACACAAAGACCAGTGCTGCACACAGCATCCCAATGCCTCTGCAGGTCCTGCTTGACTTCCTCTGAGCCACTGCCTCTACTCTCACAGCTGGCTTCTCTATGCCTGAAGCCCCATGAGCTGCATTTCTTTGTCCTGGGACAGCCCATCAGCCCCAGCCAGGGCAAACCAATCAATGATCCTACTCTCAAGGATTGAGCTATACCTCTGGAAATGTCTCGTTACACCCCATCTGAGGTTGGGCTTCCTTGGTGTCTCCCTAAACCTCAGGAAACCATGGAGAGTGTGTTTAGATCCTCACATCACTCTGTATTAGAGTTTAGTGATTATTTCTTATTCCTTTTAGGAGTACTTTGGTTTGGACTTGGGACCTTGTGCTCACTAGACAGGCTGTGTACCACTTGAACCATGCTCCCAGTCCTTTTTGCTTTAGTTTGGTTTTAGATAGTTTTATTCTATGGCTTGGGCTAGCCTCAGACTTTTATCCTCCTACCTTCACCTTCTGAGTATCTGGGATTATAGGTATGGGTCACCATGCCTTCCTCTTCATAATTCTTTATTTAAAGCTCTGCAGGTCATTTAGAGATCAGCATGATCTCTAGCTAGAAGGCATCATGGACCAAAGACCTGCACCATCTGTTGTACGGACACATCTCAGCACTCACCGACATAGCATGCATCCCATAGCTATAGCCAGCCTCTGAGGGTGCAGCGCTCTGAGGATGCTCTATGCAGGTGCCTTTGATGGGCAGCCTTGGCTAAGCACATCTCATTGCCTTTCCAGATGTGTGCTAGTGCTTCATGCTTGGAATACTAGCTGCTCAGTAGGCTGAAATCCAAGAATTGCAGCTCAAAGTCAGCCCAGGTAGAAAAGTCCGAGAGATTTTAATTAACTAGCAAAAATCTGTACTGGAGGTACCACTCAAATGGTACAGTACAGAACCAGCCATGAGTAAAACATTGTGAGAGTATGAGGTCCTAAGTTTGAACCTTGGTGTATACACACACACACACACACACACACACACACACACGTATTGTATTTTAAGACTATTCCCACCTTATTTACTTACTTCTCTCATTATCTTTTCCATAGTAGTGTGACCTCTCCTTGCTTTGAATTTCTCATAAATCAAGTTCCATCTTGGTGTGTGCTTCCTAGAGCTATAGGAACAGACTGACTTAATGCAGGTATAGCACCTAGTAGGTG